GGAATACCTCAAGAGTTGGTTAAAAATGTAGATTTGACCTCCTGTGCCCAGACACAGATCCCACAGGTCTGCAGGACCTAGGAATCTGCATTTCAATAAGTGGTGCCTGCAGCTCATCCCTTCCCCAGGCAGGTGACCAGATGCAGGTGATGTGAGGACATGTGTGGACAAACCCTGGGGAGATCCAGGTCCCCAGTGACACAACATCCCAGAGTCTGTCGCTGGGGAAAACCAAGAGCTAATCTCATTCCCTGGAGAGAGGAGGAAGGAACCCCCCGCTCTCTGATCCCTACGTTTCCTGTCCTTGCAATGCCTCCAAAACCGGCACAGCTAAAGCAGAGGTACTGGCTCCCCTTCTCCCTGCACCGAGCACAGAGCTGTAGGCAGTGCCAACAAGTGATAAAGTGATAGGAAGTTCTGGAATTAGATTAGGAACAAGGATTCCTCACTACTGGGGTGTGTTCCTGAAGTGAGTCTAGCCAGGCCTGTAGGGGCTGAGCGCAGAAGGCTCTAGATGGAAACAAAGACCCCCGCCAAAGAGTGTGAAGGCAGCATCTGGGGAGGGGGCAGGCCCTGAGAAGCCTGCCTTCCAGCAGCGCCCTCATCCCCAGAAGGGCGTGCTCAGAACGTAATGGCTCTGGCTACAAATTCTATTAACTCTAATAGTTGTTCTGCGGTGAATGGATAATGCATTTAGCAGAAATAGAGCCAATCAATTTATGTGAAACACATAAAACTTTCTCATTGGAATTGGCATCTGTTCTTGAGCCACAGCAGCAAGTGTGGAAACGGGCAGTCTGTCGCCCTTGCTGCTGGGTGCCATGGCGCATTAGCAGTGCCGTGAGTTCATGAGAGATGGGGGCCAAAAGCAGTTCTGATCTGGGGCGCCACACCCCTTCAGCCCTAAAACAGGATGGGGAGGGACTTGGAGACTGCATCAAAGCCTTGGCTTCTAAAAACAGCACTTTTCTGCCCATGCCTGTGTTCACGTGAGTGCTTCTCCCATGGGCTCTGCTACCTGTGGGTTTGCGGACACGACCCTGCTGTCAGCTGAGGGGTTAGAAGGTGGCGCAGAGGGGCGTCGGCCCCAGGAACACACTCGGAGTGAGGGCCAGCCAGGGCCAAGCACGGGTTCTGAGTCCCGGTCCAGTGCTCTTTTCATGACCCAATGGCATATTTTCAATGGTCCCCTCCACGCTTTGGCAAGAGGTGCGTGCTCAGAAAGAGGCAAAACCACCTGCTGCAGCCAATTCAGAGGCCGAGACTGTGGCTGACGCCAGGGCTCTAGGAGCCGTTGATATGTATGGCGAGGTCTACACTACGGGCTGCTGCTCAAGCAACTGAGCTGATTCCGATCCAATCTCCCTGCCCAACACCCAACACGTCATGGCGCACGAGGGGGCAGAGAGCTGAGGTGGGGCCGCTGGACTCTGGGGGTCCTGCCTGTCTTTACCTGGGTTTTTGGGGAGAGGGTGTGGTATAGGCTGCTCGCACCTCCTCACCTCTAATGAAGGCTCATTACAGAGAGACAGACAGACAGACAGACACACAAACACACACAGAGAGAGAGAGAGAGAGAGAGAGAGAGAGAGAGAGAGAGAGAGAGAGAGAGAGAGAGATCGAGCTCTCCAGCCTGAAGACTACATTTGGTTGGCGTAATTGTATGTGCACAGCTGACAGATGTGATTCCCCCAGACTTAATACCTGCCCCATTTTCTCTGTTTCTTCCTCTGGCTAGCTAACGTGACTCAGAGGCTTCCGAGAATGCTCCGTGAAGCACCTGGGCAGGCTTTTCCCCGCATGGGTGCTCAGCTTGGCTCTGAGGTTGGGGGCGTGTGAGGGAACCCCCGGGCCCAGAGGGTCGGGCCTTGGCAGCGGGGAGGGCCGGCTGGGGACGTGAGGAGCGGCATCTTTGTGAGGGACTTTCCGGAAGTCCCGACATGGCCTTGGGTTCCCGGAGTGGCTCTGCCACCCGCCTCGGGGTCCGGCCCAGCAGAAGCTGACAGCGCTGAGCTTTGGGAGGAAGATCTCAGTCTCTTGTCTCCTCCATCCTTGGGATAGGGGTGGGGAGGGGAGGGGTTGACTTGTTCACTGGCCCTGTAGGGGCTCTTGTCTGAACCCTCTTTCTAGTCTCTAATGTTGCTCTCTGACCGGAGACTCGGATAGCAGCTTGGTTGACTGAAGGAATGTAGACTTTGGATCCAGTGTGGCCCCACCATCTACCAGCTGTGGGGTTCACATCCTTCCAGATCATTCTCCTCATCCCTGCAGTGGCAATCAGAGCAGCTGTCCCTGGGCTGCAGCGAGGGACTGGATGAGCTGATGTGTGAGACACTCGGCCTGGGCCAGGCGTACTCACGGACTGTTCCTTCCCTTCCTCTCCAGGGCCCCTCAGGTCATGCTCTGGGCATGGCATAAGGTTCTTGCCACAGGTCAGGACCTGCAGTGCACAGGCCCTTCACTGCCCTGGTCCAGAAGCTCTAGAACACTGAATCCCGCTCACTTTGTTTCTGTACCAGGCCCATGTGAGGGGGCGAGGGGAGGCAAGTGCTGGCCGGGTGATTATTTCTGAGCAGGTGTGGCCCTCACCTTGGCCTCCCATGATTGGGGCAGAAGCTCTCCTCCTGCAGGCCTCTCTTCCACACAGCGCTACCCTCCTGGCAGACCCGCTTTACCACTCGTCTGCGTGTGTGTGCGCTCTCTCTTCTAGACTGCGCGTCCTCTGTGCTCCTGCCCTGGGTCCTTGTCTGCTCAGCATCACTGAGCACAGACCTGGCCACAGAGCAAGTGCAAGGCCAGTGGGAGGGTCCAGACTAAGGCGGTGGGGATGGGCCTGTACATGGGCCCCAGGTGCGGCCTATCTTCCTGACCATGAAGCTAAGAGCTGGTCAAGTCTGGGGTTTGGTGAGTGTTATCCTATGGGTGGGGGGCTGGGAGGACACCCAGTTCCTCTCTTCTCCCATAAATCCTCCCAGAGTACACAGAGACCCAACCACAGGCTGCTTGAACCCGCAGCAGCAGGCAGGACAGGGAGACCTGCCAAGATGGGGGGTGAGGCTTCCTGCTACTGGGCCAGGTAGGGGGTTGAGGGGGGGCTGTGAGTGTAGCCCTGCAACTCCTCACCTGGCTGCTCCCTTAGGTGAGGCGGCACTGGGTTCTGGGAAAGCACTGGCTGTTTATTTATAGGCACCTACTGTGATGCCTCCTGGGCCTCCTGGGCATGTATTTGAGTCAGCATGCTCTTCCCTTTGAGTTGGGGTCTCTCCGGAAGAGAGACAGACACTGACCCAGAGCCACCTGCACATCACTCCTGCCCTGAGGCTGGCAGCGAGGCAGCCAGTTTGCAGCCCTTATCATCACGGCCTCTCTGGAGACCACTGGATTCTAATTTTATTTGGAGGTGGGGGGCCATCGCCACTCTGAGTTGCGTGTGATTTCATTAGTCTGAGTGGCTATTGGGCAGGCCCTTATCGATTAGCCTCTTAGGGAAGGTGGGAGCTAGAGGGCAATAAACCCGGATCCAGGCAGGCTGGATGGCTGTTTCCTAAACGCTGCTGCGGGGGAGCCAGCTGCAGGCGTCTGAACACTGAGCTCAAGCATCAAGCGCCCACTGGTCAATCAATAAGAGTTTCTGGAGACCCCGCTATGCGCTCAGCGCTGGCGCTCAGGCGGGCCTTGTTCTGATCTAGGGCAGGAGGCAGTGCTGGGCCAAGAACAGGAAGAATGTGGGGGGGGCCGGGGGGGGGCAGGAGGGGTGTAGAAGGCGACTTCCCCCTTTCAGGTGAACCAGGCATGTGGGGAAGTAAGGCGCCCCCACTTCTGGAGACTGGCTCCTCTTCGTGTGGAAAATGAAAAACCCTTTGAAGTCCAGGTTACAGGTGAAGGGAGGAAGAAGAGGTGGTGCTGGGAAGGGAACCGGCTCTTTTCCTTGGCCTTGGGAGCTGATTAGATCAGGCGGGAGTCAGGGAAGGACAAGAGTTAGTCCTGGGCAGCTTCTCAGGAGAGAGAAAGGGAAGGATTTCTTCCAAGACAAAGCAAAGCGAGCATTTACTTAAAAAATTGAGTTAATGGATGTAGCGGCAAAGGTATAAGCTTCTACATCTTTTTTGGTTTTGTACCGTGTACTAAACAAGCATTTCACATTATAAAGACAAATTAAAGATTTATCACCAATCTATCCTTATCTCAGTACACAATCATCTTTTCTATGGAAGATGCGGTGGACCCAGGTGGTTCGCCTCTTGGTCTGGGTGCTGATGCTGGGAGCAGTTTCACATGCCGAGCACCAGCACCCCATGGCCCCGGGGGCTCCCTGAACATGTCAGGCCTGGGTGCCCAGCTCCTCTGGGACTGGGCTCACAGCCCCTGAAGCCCCCGAGGAAATCATACTAGGTTTGGACACTGACTCCGAGAGATTTCCTCCTGGTACGGAGTGGCTGAGCAGCCACACCAGGGTTGAGGCTCAGGGGCTGAAGTGGCTTGTGTTTGAAGCAGCAAGAGCCCTCCATGAGAGTCTTTCAGCCTGGGAGTGCCACATTAAACATCTTTGGAGGGGAGCCAAGTTTTGGGGAGATGTGTTGAACCAGAAGCCTGCCTTTGTGGAACGGATGACTTAGCTTTGGGCCCAAGCCCCTTTCCAAGGAGAAGACCATTGCCAGAAAGTTTGCTTTCTTCAGTAAGTGAGGTGTAGAATTACGGGACTGAGTGGAGAAGACAGCAGCTGGTTATCCCATTGGTGTTGGGGCTGGGCATGCTCCAGGCCCGGAGGAGAGTTTCCCCTCTGCACACCTTCCAGAAGTTCCCAGGTAATAAGAGAACCAAACGGCTTCCTCTTGGAGCCCCGGAGTCAGGTGGTGTTCCTTCTAAAGGTGGACTATTTTATTCTTTAAACAAAGCTCCCACCCCAATTACAGCACATAGTTTTCTCTTGCCTTTTGCAATTAAAAAACAAAACAACAACAACAAAAAAAACTCTTCAAATTTGTAAGTTGAAGCATTACCTGTAGGGTCAAAGGTGGGGGTCTCACTTGGCAAGTTTTCCCCAGGCTTGGGTTCCTTGTTTGAATTTCTCTCAAACAGATTTCTTGATTTGGGTGCTTCCTTCTGTGGCATCTTGTCCTCCCCACTGACTGGAACAGACAGACCCCATAGGTTGGGTTAGGTGAGGCTCAATTTAAGGGAGACAGATGATCTTACCCCGGGAAGGGTGGGAGACAGTAAGGCTTGGGGAAGCCAGGGGGAGTCTGGCTTGGGGGACCAGTGCTAGGAAGAGGGTGAACTCACTGGTGAGGTAACAGTCCAGGCTGATGGAGATGTTGTCAAAAGCCACGGTGGCTCTGGATCCTTGTGCCCACCACGCGACAATCTGCAGCCAGAACCTGTGAGAGAGCCGAGGGCGGCGTGTCAGGAACAACCTGGGCGGGTTATGTCTTAGGGTTCGGCATTCAGCAAACGTGCTGACTGCCAGCTCCTGGCCATAGTTTTTACCAGTCTAACCTCGTCTCAGAGCAGCAGTGAGAGGAGCACAGCCAGCAGCTCCTCCATCTCCAGCAGGAACTGTCTCATACATAGGCTGACCCAGTGGAGTTTGGGCTCTGGGACACCTCTTTGGATCTCTGGGTGTGCACGGTATATAGAAAGGGGTGGGTTTGCTATTCAGCGGGCGTTGGCCAGGGAGGCTGAAGTCGTTACTAAAACACCGAAATGTTTCTGAGCCAGGTGGTAAACACCTGCTGGCCCATGAGGGGCCTCTGCTCGCTGTCTCAGGCAGGCTGGCTCTCGTGTCCCCTGGATTCTCCCATTATCCAGCAACCCACAGGCTAACCCCATACACAGTGTGGGGTCTCAAGAACCCACTGCCTGTATCCCTGTGCTGTGCCCGATGAGTTGCTAAATATGAAACACTTTACTGATCCCAAGGGGGATGTTTGCAACCAACACGAACACAGAGTGGATCTTAAGTGTTTTTTTTTTTTTTTAAGATTTATTTATTTATTTACACAAGCACTGGGTACAGTCAGAAGCGCGGGAGGGTGAGAGAATTCACCAGAGCCAGAGCAGGGAGCAGAGCAGGCAGAAGGACCGAAGTACACTGCTGAGGGGAGCAGCGGGCGGCAGGAGAGGTCTGCGCGCCATGTGGGACCCTCACCCGGTGGCCGGGGATTGAACTGGCGCTGCAGAGGCTGCGGGCAGCTACGCAACCCAGTGTTCAACTGCTGCACCACCGGGGAGACCCTGGACCTTAAGTGTTAACAGTGAGCACACTGAGATACTGTGCTCAGGCCAGGGCCGGGAAGGCTTTAGAGAGAGATCTACAGAAAAGCACCTTAGGCTCTTTTGCGCCCTGGGCGGTCATCCCCGGAGGGCTATCAGTCACTCAGCCCTTTCCTGCTGTGAAGTGAGTCTCCTGAGAACTTCAAAAACCTTTTCCACCTTTCACAAGTCAATTGTGAAGGACACTCAAAAAAACTATGCAGTCTTGGGTGTGGATGTTAAGACGCCAAGAGCGGGAACCCACGCCATGGATGTGCTGGGTAAGGCGGGTGTGGGCGAGCATAGCATGGAGCGGCACTCCCAGTGCAGAAGCGTGCACGGGATGTAGGGCCCCCAGAAACATCATGCTCAGGTAAACCAGCCAGGCAATCAGCAGGGGCAAGAGCTCCTGATTCCATTCCTGTGAATGAGTCCACTTTTATGCAATGTCTGGAACAGGCAAATCTTAGAGACAACAATGCGGATGAGTGGTTGCTGGGCTGGGGGAGGGAACAAACAGTACTGACTGTAAACCACACAACGGCTCTTTCCAGGATGGAAATGTTCTAGAATTAGATTGTGGTGCTGTCTGCACAATTCTGTAAATTTGCTGAAAGTCATTGACGTCTACACCTGAAACAGGTGAACTATATTATATGTAAATTATAGGTCAATAAAGATGTTAGGAAGAAGGAAGAGAGAGAGAATGCAGATAAGAGTGTTGGCAGCATGGGGCATCAGGAGCGGCGTGGAGAAGGTGGGCGAAAGGGCACAGGAAGTAGAATGTCAATGCAGGAGAAAAAACATAGGAAAGAAACGTGCAGGAAAAAGAATTCTCATTCAAGGTTTGTTCTGAGGGCTGCAAAGCTTTCAAGCCAACGAGTGAAACTCCCCAGGGGCTGGAAGGCCCCCGGCACATCTTGCGCAGACGCCCTGACCCACTTGGAGAAGGTGCAGATGCCTCCTGGCCAGAGGACAACGACTGCCCCCTGTGGGGGAGAGACTTGAAAATCAAAAACCGACTTTTACCCAAACAGTATGTTTGTGAGGATTCTTCTCAACTGAAATGCTCAAGAAATCCTGTGAAATCTGGGCACTCACAAATAATCTCTCCTGTCTCAAAGTCACAATTAGAGACCCAAATCTGGTTCAATTCTGAAGAGGAAATGCCTGAATCTGCCAACCCCACTGGTGCCTTCAGGCCACACTCCCTGTGGGGGGGTCTACAGGCCTGAGCACCCTCCCTGCTAAGTCAGGACAGGCTGGCAAGGAGGGCTGGGGGATGGCTGGGTTAGTTGGATGTGGAAGGGGGAGCACCCACTAGAGAATCCCCAAATCCTGTTCTAGGATGCCTGGGGGTGCCAGGTGAGGGGCAGGACTGTCGGGCAGCACAAGAACCCACTCAGCCTGCCTAGCAGCTCCTGGTGCTGTGCATGTGCCTCCAGGAGGCATCTTTCATTAGAACCTTGAAAAGCATCTACAAATGGGATGAGTCTTGGCAAAGTCACAGCCACTTTCCCTGGATCTCATGGGGGACACGATTGTAGATAAGTTCAGGTTTGAGCCTGGTAACCAGGTCTGGGATTCTCAAGGGACAAAAGAAGGCTCTAAGACTGCTGTCTCATTCTTGTTATGATATTTGCCAGGGTTAAGAAGATGCTGCCCCCGGCCAGCTAGAGAGCAGGTGCTGAATAGTTACTTGGGAGGGTACATAGAAAGAATCATATTTCTGGGTTGAAGCATCCAGAAAATAAAGCTATCTGATGCATCTCTACAGAGGGGGTAAGGCCTACAGCCCACCTTTCTGACCATCCTGTTCTAATCTGTCATCCACAGGCTGAGAGGCCAGGCCAGGTACTGATTTCTATGCTTAACTGCAGAATGGGTGTGCCCTCTGGGAGGGCCTGGGTGTCTTGAGCAAGTAAATCACATGTGTGTGGCCATCAGTGTGGGAGGAGAGGGTCAAACCCTGTTTTCCTCAAACAGGCCCTTCCAGGGAAGCTCCCTTCCCCTCTCTACTCTCCAGGTTCCTGCTTTCCTTCTTCATTACTGAGCGATTAGAGCTGCAAAGTTCTCAACCAGCCACTGGGCCTGTTTGCATGGATGGCATGATGCAAGCCGGGACTGGAATGGCTTCTAAAAAGGAGAGTTTCTAAAGTGCTCTGCAAGGCAACGCAGTGGCAGCTGCTGTTTAAAAGAGTTTGATTGACGCTGGGAATTGCACATATTTTTGAGTCAGGAACACTTATAACAATCAGGGAAGACTCAGTCAGATGTGGAATCAAATGTAAACATGTGAGCTGCCTCTGTCCACTCGGGGGGCCACACTGCTGGCCCCTCCCTAGCCCTCCCCAGGGGCTGCAGGGAAGGGACAGGTGAGCAACACCCTACTGGGGTGTGGAGAGGGCAGTCCAGGAGCGGGGTCTGGGGATGGAGGGACAGGGCAGGAAGGGGATAGCAGGACCAATCTAGGAGCTTCTTCTCTGTGGGAAAACTGGCCAAGAGGCTGGGTGGTGATCAGGGCCTCCCTGATTCAGCCTCTCTACTTTGAGGGTGTCTGTTTTTGGTCTTTACCTGAGCCTCAGGTGAAGAAGAGGTTGCTCAGGGCTCTTCTGGGTCTCTCCCTGCTGGAGATGGGCAAGACTGCCTCAAAGACTTCAGAACCTTATGTGGCCCAATCATTCTTTCTGGTTGAGGCCCTCAAAGTACAGAGACCACATCACTCATCACTCATCACTCTCCGGTCACTCATCACCTCAGTCTCGAGTTTCAGCATGAACTGGGGGGCTGCTCTGGCTCTGAGGGAAAGCAAGGCCCATGCCACATCACTGCAGGCCTGTGGGGGCTGGTGTTCTCAGAACATGCAGGGTACTTTGTGGCCCTGAACCTCGAAGTACTGTGTGGGGAAAGGATTCCTCATACCCAAGGCTAGAAGAGCCTTGCCTGCCCCTCTGTGGGCAGCCTGGTCAGTGTGGAGGGAGGTGGCAACTCTTTTGGGGCCCCTGAGCTCCCGTACTGATCTGTGCCATTTCAGAGCATGGCAGCTGGGGTCTCCTTCCAGCCCTTGGGGGAGATTTCGCCCCCCTGTCCTCAGGAGCATACACCAAGGCAGAGCTTCTAGCTTCTTCAAAGGAAACGCTTTGACTGCCGGGTGGCTGCTGCCTTTCCTCTCTGCTCTGGCTGGTGAGTCTGGAGTTTGCTAACACGGACTTGGCTGGCGGTCCTGGCTGGAACCTGGTGTGCATCGAGTGGCCCCTCACAGGCCTCACGGAGCTTTACAGAGAGGCGCGTTGAAAGCCCACCTCTGGGGTGCTGGGAGGTGGCCATGCAGGCCTGCCTAGAGGGGGTGGCCTGGGAGCCAGGTGCCTCCCAGACGCAGGGGCAGGTCTCTGCCTGGGAAGTGCTGATGCAGCTCGCAGGCTGCCTGGAAGAGGCACAATCTTGTCAGGTAGCAGACTGTTAATGGACAGTGAGTAGAATGCCTTCTTGGCCAGCCTGAGGGATTGACAAGCCTAATTAAGTTCAGTTAATGATTTTAAATAGCTGACATAAAAGGTGTGTGTGAATGCGGACTGAGTGCAGAGGGATGCTTTGGGGAGAGGGCAGGAAGGAGGGGTTGGCCTGGGTAAAAGGCATTTTACACATGGGTGGCGCCGTGTCTCAGATTCCTTCACCCAGCAGGCCGTGGGCTAGGAGGGGGGTGTTCCGGTTCCTTTCCATGGCTGGGCTTGTTGGGCTCTGGGCTGCTTGGCATAGAGCTGGCAGATGCTGCGGAAAAACACTTTCCCCGTTTCTCACTGTGCTATTATTTACTCGGCAAAAGTCTCCTAAAATGGACTGTCACAAGGCTCGGGCCTCGGTGTGCATTTCTATGAGAATAACGAATGTGACGAAAAAGCCCTGAAGCATCTGTCTCGTTATCTGTGTCAACTTCTGTTACCGGTAGGAGAGGAGGGGCAGGGGCCAGCTCGGGCTCCTGGGCACAGCCCTGGCTGGTCTGTGAGGCTGAGACGGCGCAGACTCGGGGAGTCTCTGGCTCCTGCACAGTGGGTCAGGGCCTTCAGACTCAGCAGTTGGGAGCACCCTCTCTCCCCAAGTTGCACTCCCAGAAGTAACTTCTAACA